GGGGGGCTCAACCATCCCTTTGTCCATCCCACTCTCACCCGTCCCTTTGTCCACTGCCATCTGTCCCCGCTCGCCTCCCCGGGCGCCGGCAGCCCTGGATGTGGCCCAGGCCTGGCAGGGCCGAACGAGGGGGCGGCTGCGACGCCCGCCTGGGGGGGTTCCCCCCGGCCGTTGCCGTCTCCCCGCGCCGGCCGGGGTCGGCCGAGGACAAACCCGCTCGCTCCCAGCGCGCCAGCGCTCGCTTGCAGGCGCCGGCCAACGTGCTCGCGCCTCCCCAGCCTCCCGCCCGGGCCAGCTGGCTGCAGCCGGCGAACGTGGCAGCGGGGCACGTCCGTCCCCCCCGCCGCCTTGGGGGATGCCTCCAGCCAGGACCTCCCCAGGGTTTTGCTCGGCTGGGGGAGGAGAAGCTGCCGCCCCCGCGGCATTCGCGGCCTGCCAGAGAGTGGGCTGAGACCCAACAAACTCATCTCGCCCCCTCATAGCACCGCAGCCCTCCAGGCACGACGGCGGGGGCTGAAGGGGGAGTGGGGCATTACAAAGAGCATGGCGGAGGGGTCCGGTGCCCCGGGCGCGCCGGCTGGCCCGGCTGAGCTGGGATTTACCCGGCACACACGGCGTTTCTCGGGGTATTATATAAAGGAGGTTACACAAGCGGGTCTGTTCCGGGTTTTATGTAAGGGCCACCCCGGCCTGCCTGGCAGCGGGACGGGCAGCGTTGCGCAGACCAGTGGGGCCAGTGTGGGGCTGGGGGTCTGGCAGGGAGGGGCCCCCGAATCACAACCCCCCCAGCAGCCTCGCCCACCCCTAGCTCTTGCAGGGGGGCCACCGCCCTACAGCACTCAGGCTCCCTCAGGTCTCCAGGTGTCCCCCATCCTGACCAGGCTGTTCACTCTGGGCCCTAGTGATGTATGCTGCGGGCAAGGGCCAGCCGGAGGCACCGGGGAAGCTGTGTGTTGCTCCTGGGTAGGTGCTGTGGCTGCACCACCACCGAGGGAGAGGCAGGGGGGACAATTCCCCAGGGGTCTTAGCCCCGAGCCGACCCCAGGGGAAACTGAGGCACAGGGCAGGAGCCTGCAGGCAGCGGTGCTGAGCCCTCTCCCATCTCCTGCCCTGTCACCAGCAGAGCTGGGGGAGGAGGAGGAAAGCTGCTGCCCTCACCGGGGGGGGGG